GGGCGGATGAGAATCTGATGGTGTTCAATGCCGATAAATGCAAGGTTCTCCACCTTGGGAAGAAAAACCCTCAGCATCCTTATAGGCTCAGCAGTGCTATGTTGGCTAGCACTATGGAAGAAAGAGACTTGGGGGTCATCATTGACCACAAGATGAACATGAGCCTGCAATGCGATGCGGCGGCTAGTAAAGCGACCAAAACGCTGGCTTTCATCCATAGATGCTTCTCAAGCAAATCCCGGGACGTCATTCTCCCCCTGTACTCGGCCTTAGTGAGGCCGCAGCTGGAGTACTGTGTCCAGTTTTGGGCTCCACAATTCAAAAAGGATGTGGAGAAGCTTGAGAGAGTCCAGAGAAGAGCCACGCGCATGATCAGAGGTCAGGGAAGCAGACCCTACGATGACAGGCTGAGAGCCCTGGGGCTCTTTAGCCTGGAAAAGCGCAGGCTCAGGGGTGATCTGATGGCCACCTACAAGTTTATCAGGGGTGACCACCAGCATCTGGGGGAACGTTTGTTCACCAGAGCGCCCCAAGGGATGACGAGGTCGAATGGTCACAAACTACTTCAAGATCATTTCAGGCTGGACATAAGGAAGAACTTCTTTACTGTCCGAGCCCCCAAGGTCTGGAACAGCCTGCCACCGGAGGTGGTTCAAGCACCTTCATTGAACACCTTCAAGATGAAACTGGATGCTTATCTTGCTGGGATCCTATGACCCCAGCTGACTTCCTGCCCTTTGGGCGGGGGGCTGGACTCGATGATCTTCCGAGGTCCCTTCCAGCCCTGATGTCTATGAAATCTATGAAATCCTTGTTGAACTGCATTCTGTTGTTTTCTGCCCACTTGTCCAACCTGTCCAGGTCTGCTTGCAGCTGTTCCCTGCCCTCTGGCGTGTCCACTTCTCCCCATAGCTTTGTGTCATCTGCAAACTTGGACAGAGTACATTTCACTCCCTCGTCCAAGTCACTGATGAATTCTTAGAGCCATGTTCCCAGTTGTGAAAACTTTTAATTTTTTTGCAACTCTCTAGTTGGTCTAATAAAAGATATTGCCTCTACCACAAGAGTTCTGACTGCTTTTGCCTTTAGACCAACACAGCTACAACCTGTGACCCCTTTCTTCTCCTCTGATACTTTTCTCTTGCTCACCTCCAACAGAAAGAGACATCTCTACCAATCAATGCCTTAGCCCTGTGTTTCCCAAACTCTTCCTCAGCATGACCCCGTTTATGGCCCCACTTCCTCAGCATGGCCCTTAGCTCCTAACCCACAGTGCTCCCTCCCTCCTCCCCCTATTCCTGCGACACCCCCCACCCCCCCCTGCCCTCTGCTGATGTTGCAACCCCATTTTGGGAACTGCTACCTTAGCCCCTGCGTTTGCTTCTCTTCCTAAGAGACTGTGGGTCCACATACCACAGCTTCAGCTCAACCTTGCTATGCAAGTCTGTTTTGGGCAGTAGTCTGTAATGTTTCAGCAGTTACTCAGCAATGGGGCCCTTTAGCTGCTCCTTGATTTAACATGAACAGATGGGTGGCTGTTATGTACACTGGTTTCATTCAGGATTAATCTCACCCATAAAAGTTGCACTTCTTTAAACTGTTTTATACTTATCCTCCCCTTCTCCCCTTTTATATATTGTCACTATCAAAAAATTACTAAAATATTGAAAAGACTTAACACACTGAAAAAAAATGTATAGGGAATGCACTTTGTTCCTTCCCTTCATAAAGTTAAGCGAGGTTAAAATCAAACATATAATTAAAGTTGTGACATCTGGTAATTTCCATTATATGGAATCAGTGCTGTGGCTGCATAATAAAAGCTTATAGGAAATCTTCCACATAGGCTGAAGCATTTCATCATATTTATTATGTCCTAAAAGACAGCACCATCCTACCCAAACCCTGAGAAGCATGGTGTATTTATTCAGATGTTAAATAGCTTCAAGAAAATGCCTAGCCATATTCAGGCTCCAGAGAACTTTAGCTACATCATAGCTATAAATAAATGGCAGGAGAAAGAGAAAAGGACAGGAAAGAAAGACTGTTGTTGGCCTTCAGTTTAATGGGTCAATGGGAAACAAAAACAAGCAGCTGTTTTTAAGTTGAAATTATAGTTTACGTGCAATGTTGAGTGTAATCTTACTGGCATGTGCTGTGTCATGGGTTTATACTACGTCATAGTTTCCAGCACTTGCCTGTGTTACAAGTCAGTGTTTAATTAACAATGAATATAAACCTAAATGAAACTGCCTATTTTCTCCCAGCCCAAATTGTGAAACTGATTGAATTCAGCACTTGTAGATATCATGATGGTCCCCCTCCCTGCGCCACCTGCCCTGTGGCCCTGGTCACTGAAGCACTTGGGATTACTGACCTCTCCTAGAAAAGACAGGGTAGCTTCATTTATTTAAAAGCTATACTCATTGGAGCTAGGCTCATGAGAAATAGATGAGCAGCTGTTACTGGGTGAACAGAAGTGACCATCGAAGCAGCAGCCAGCAACCTCTCAGCAATGTTTCTCTATAGCCACAACACAATACACACTACTTAATCGCTGCTTTCCTGAGGTATGTCCCAGAAAACCAAATTATAGATTCATAGCCTCATCAAAGTGAGTGGCAGCAAGTACTGCTTCACTAGGATAGGATTAGTAAAGATCCATTCCTGTAAACACCTGGAACTAGTTATAAAGGATTAAGCATAAGTTTTTAAGTGAGTGTAGCATTGTGAGCTCTGCTTTCTATAATATCAGAGCTGCAATATAAGGGCTGAAATCCCTTATACTATGTCTAGTACTTTTTTTTTCCCTTGTTCTATTTCATTTCCTTAAAGCTTATTAATGGCCTCCTCTTCCAATCAGGCTGATTACTTAAAACGTAGTGACAGACCAGTTAAAAGGAACATCATGTCCCATAAGCACTGCTGTCTCTGTTTGGTACTGTGGGCAGACACCTTTCACACCAGTTGTTTCTAGCAAGCCAAAGTAGGAAGGTCTGTCTTTGCTCTTCAGCCCCTTTGATGTTTGGGCTATGCTGCCAGAGCATTTTTCCACTAAAAAGACCTGTGTTTTGCTGCTTCAGGGCCCCCTCCCCATACATGTGCACTGGAATAATTAGCGATGCAAGACTTTTCTGGGCTGCTCGAGCTGTAGCAAGAAAACACCACCCAACATATTTTTCTCTTCTCATTTTATAAGTGATCCCCCTATTTAGCTCTGGAGTGTGAACGCTCACCATTCTAACCACCTTGTGTGTCTTTTTTTCCCTGCCTTTACTGCATGCTGATAATTACAGGGAAGGAGAGGTAAGATGTTTTTAAATGATGTCACACTGGTCATTTTATCCATTGGATCTCTTGTACTCCCCAGAAGATCTGTCTGGAAGCTCTTAAAATAGCAAGAGCATGATGTGACAGGTTCCTAATTCTATTTAATAAACACCTTTCAAGGCTGCAGTTTATCTAGCTACAGATGGTAGATATTCTGCTGGAGTGGCTATGACACAAAATGTAGCAAACTGTAACAGCTGGTGTACAGATGGGTGTGGGAAGCAGCTGATTGGTGCCACCTCAGCTGACTCAACCAGGTGATGGTTCTGAAGGGACCTGACCCAAAGCCCAGTAGTATAGCTGGGACAGGATAAGCGGGGCACTAACTCCAGTGCTGAATGGCCTCTGGAGAGCCTGCACAGCAGTAGCAGCAACAGCTGGGGTCCAGGGAGCCTGTGTGATGGTGCCAGTGGCAGGAGCAGCTGCCAGTGTCCATGAGATCCTAATGGTCAGGTAAGGCTCTTCATTGCTTGGCACTCCCCCTATCCTCCAGCTGTCCAGTGCTAGGTAGATACCAAAGGAAACATTAATAGAGACTCAAGGCAGCATGTAAAACTGGAGAAGAAAAGCAAGGAGCAAAGGTTCCCAGTGTAAAGCTGTGCTATATTCAAAGGGTTTGTGCAGGCTTAAAGGGGCCTATTTTTCCTTCATTTCAGTGACCCGGATACAGAACTAGTATTCGAGGAGTTTGTTGATCAACAGGTGGATGATGCAGCTGAGGATGGAGCTGAAGATGAAGAAAAGGCAAATGAGTGACTGGAAGAACCAACCACCAGAGGAGCTATGGGGTCTGGCATTAGTTACAAATGCATTAGGCCATAGCTTTTAGATATATTAAACTGTCAGTTCTTGACACTATAATGCAACATCCATGGATAGGTTGTTAGCAATAGGGCTCCAACTTGGGATCTGTAGATCTAAAACCATGAGCCTGTATTGCCAGAGTGGTAGCTCCATTAGCTAAAAGATATAGCAGACTCAAACCTTTTTGTGGTCCAGCTAGTAGAGAAGTAGCAAGACACATTACTCTCACATGTTCATAACGCTACCAAATAAATTGGTTGGGTGCTGTCACAAAATATTAAAACCTTGATCAATGGTGTGTCTGCTGTCAAAAGTTTTCTCCCAGCCTCACTTTGGATCAAGGAGCCACTGATTCTGAGTCCTCAGTTCACTGGTAAGAATCTATACTGCCCACTGTATGCATGGGAAGATTTAATTATACAGCTTGTGATCTGTGGCTTGGTTCAACTGACAGCAAAAGGACCTTTGGCACTGAAAGTGGAAGCAAAGCTGTTGTATGGAATTCCATTTCCTCATCAGTGTGTAGTATTCTGCACCAAAAAACTTGCTGAGACAAGGCAGCAAGCCAATCCTTCTCTAAGTAACCTGCGCAGGCTTTTATAATGTCAATCTTGCCCTCTTTCTGGGTTTGGTTTCTATGGAAATGCTCCCCCTGTGTCTTGTTGTTTCTTGAGCAGCTTTATTGTCATCGCTCTTATTAATTTCACCAAGTTCCCAGCTGCATTTTATCATAGTAGGTCCAAAGCCTTTCCTAAGCAGCTTTCTGTAGGGTTTCAGGTCTAACATGATGGGTTAAAATACGATCCAGCCATGCCAATCCATTGCTCACAGCATCCAAGAGAACTATCTATCTCATGCAGAAATTTTGGTTTCTGTGCTTCAGCTAAGATGTCAAAAAAAAAAAAAGGGCAAATGTCTGACCAGGTCAAATGGCCCATGGAGCTAGCATAATGAAGACATGCCAGTTTCTGCAGCCAATGCAAGCCTACTAGCCCATTTGGCTAGCACAGTTAAAGCATACCAATTTCTGTAACATCACTTCCAGCGCCTTTGACTCCCCACTCTGTATGACCAGGTACCCATTTATAGCTGAGTCAGCTGTGGGCATTCTTCAGTACAAGTCCAGGATGAGATTTGAATTCACGCCTTTGGAGGTAAGACAAGACTATTTAACTGCTCTGCTACCACTTTCTGGTTGATTAGTGATATGAGCCAATAAAAAAGTGTTATGTAAGCCACATTAGTACACTCCTATAATACTACATTACAACACAAGACAACACTTGATTTTTGTTGCAGCTGTACTTTTCATATTAAAGTTGAGTCAAATGGAGATGTGTTCAATTTACATTATTCTAAGTAGGTGTTCACTGGTAGCTGTAATCCCCCTGCTAGTTTCAGCATAGATTTTGGAGACTGATTGTGTGAAGAGTTCTAGAAAGATATTGTACCAATTTTTATCATTCAAAAGAACAACCCTGTGACCAGACTTAGTGGATCCATGGTTAATTAAGCCTCACTTACATAGATGGCCTGGTATCCAGATATAAGATAGTCTTGGGGAAAAACTATGTGATGTATTTGAGATTTTTTTCACCAATCTTATTTCCACCATGAGTTTAGGTATGAAGCTTTCCACATATATATTTTGCCTGCAAATATTGCTGGCTATGGGAAAATAAAGCATTTTGTACCTCTGGCCTGCAAGATGCCCTCAGCTTTTGACTTTCCTCACCAAATCACCTATGATGACAACACCCTGAAAGTGCATAGAACAAAATAAGAATTCACAGCACTGAATGAGAGGGGCAGGAAAGGACATGCACAAAAAAGTTATAAAAATTATACCCATTTTCTCAACTTGGCCTAGAAAACCCTTGTATGATATTCAGCATTTCACTTAGTATTAGAAGTTTCAAACCCTTTCCTTGTGCTTCTATATAGGGAAGAAAATTCTGTTTGTTTAATCTGCTCATTATTGCCCAGCAAGGTAGGCTGGACTTCCTGTTCTCCTGCCCTTTAACCAAAAGATGCTGACCTTTGTTAGTAATAAAGAGATCTTTGGTTTGAGTCATTTGCCTTTATCTTTCTTTCTTTTCTTCTTTTATTCTGACATTACATTATCTAAAAAATCAGAGCATTAGACTGACAGTCACATGGTTAAGACTGCAACAGAGTAAACCAATTTTCTGACCCTTGTCTTTTGATCTGCTAAGGTTCTGTTTATAGACAAAGATCCAAGTCCTTTCACTCTGTAGAACACAGATTTAAATTTTGATACTTATGGCACATTTGTTCCAAGTAGGCAGTTTCATGTATGCTATAAAGTGTTTAAAGAGCCACATAATGCTGAAAGAATTTAAATTACCAGTCTTAATGTTGTGATCAATTGTGTTCCTCCTTCCTCAGTTCATCTCCTTCACAGCGTAAGTCCTAAATGAAACACTGGACTCCTTAATTATTGCTATAAACCAGGCATCCATATCTTATATATGCAGGTTTTCTTTTTCTGGCTACTGGGGGGTGGGTGCTTCATTGGTGGTTTGTCTAAATCTGATAGCACAGATATGAAGTATGATGTGTGGAAAGGCTGATTCAGAAAAGTTGTTTGTTTTTTTTTTAAAGTGAAAAATAGCTTCCCTGCCACTAAATTTTTGGACCCATTGGGAGCCTTGTGGGCCAGATGACATGGGTCTGCAGTCTGAGTGTTGAATACCCACCCTGTTTTAGGAGAAAAGACCTGCTTTATTATAATGAATAGGTAGAAGTGCAAGGGGGGCTGGACCTGATGATCTCATGAGGTCCTTTCCAGCCCCTAACATCTATGAATGCAACTGTCAATCTATGAATAAGTGTTGTAGCCATGATGATCTAGAGCAGAGGTTCTCAAACTGTGGTCCATGGACCACCACTAGTCCACGAGCTCTATTCAGGTGGACGGCAGAAAGGTTGCAGAACAATCAAGAATACCTGTACTTGTAAGGTAAGACTACTGATATTAAAATATGAGTTGTGTGCTTTGATTTGTAGAACAAAAAACAGTTTAAGTGGTCTGCTGAGATCCTCAGCAATTTCCAAGTGGTCCATGGGGAAAAAAAAAATTTGAGAACCACTGATCTAGAGAATATGAGAGAAGCTAGGTTTATTTAGTAATACAGTGTTTTTTATTGGCCATACTGTACAGTTGGGAGAGATGATAGATAACCTCTTGGGCACAAGTGCCTGGCCTCAGGTCACTTTTTAATGAATGTGAGAAAGCATTCAGTTAAATTCTAAGGTCAGAGTTTAATGGTTGAAATTGATGGTTCTTTTACTACAGTGTGAAGGTGTCATTGATCTATTCTCATTTTGTCTTATCAGAGACAAAAGGTTGAAATGATGAGCCCTTCATTTTATCCTGAGGAATGGTATTTTCATGCTTTGAACCAATAGGAGAAACAAATTCAAAAGGGAGAAACCAAATAACCATGCCCCTGCCTGAAGTTAACTGTTTTAACTCATTTTAACCTGTACAGGCAATGGGATAAACAGGCCCAAGGCACTGGACTGGGAATCAAAGGGCTGTGTCCTGGCTTTGCCATTGCTTTCTTACATGGATTTTGGCAAGTAACTTCAAGTTCTCAGGGCAGGGATTCTTGCTTTTTCTGTTGGCACAGCACCTAGTAGAATGGATGCCATTCTCACTTAGGCCCTAACCTATTGTAATGCAAAAGCGAAATTGTTTATGGCCTTGTCTTGACCATCCTGTAGACATGACCACACTGCAGCTGTAGGGGCTCATAAAATGCTATGGTGCGTACAGGTGGGGCATAGAAGCTCCTTGCAGAAACTTGCAATGGCAGTTTATTGGACAGTCAAGCAAATGTATGCTTCTTAGCACTGGAATTTCTTGAAGGATTCATTAACTTTGTTCTTTCATGACTCAGTCTTATCTATACAGGCAGTCATAAATTGACATCCTGTTTCAACTTTCTGATGTCAATTTTGACTTTACAACGCTTGATCTGATGTGACGCCATGCCAGCGAACAAATCGCTGTCTCACCCATCCCCCTGGAGAATATCTGTCCAAACTTGCTTGGACACTTTCTTTAAGAAAGCAGCCAAGACTCCAGAAAAACCTGTAGCCAAGACTCCTGAGAAGACTCCAGACAAAAACCCTCCAAAAAGTCTAAACAAGACCCTTCAAAAACTCC